GTCAAAGAATTCCAATGTCTATCAATATCTTCAGTCACTTACCTCCAAAAGCTGGGGCCTGTACGTAACAGGTGTCTGGAATCTGTTATCCACCGGATGTACTGGTCGGAAATTCGGCGGCCTTATAAATCCGTAATCAATGTCCTCCTCCGTCGGACGCATGGTAGTGGTCGTTGTAGATAGTGCTGGTGGTTTCGTGGTGGTAGTGATTTGCCTTTGTTGCTGTACCGCGTGTATCTTGATATATTCATTGCCATCAGTCTGAACTTGAGATCCGTGATTCTGGGTGCGAGGTCTGGATCTGGTTCTCTGTCTACTCGGCACGGTTCGAGTGGAATCTTGGTTCACCACGTTGAAACGAACGTACTCGTCCTGTGAACCTTTGTTCCGTGTCTGAACCGATGGTTCATGATGCAAGCGGGTACCAACGCGTCCTCGAACACGTTGCCGAATCACTACGGGCGTTGTGCTTGTTGTAATTGCTTCTGTTGTTACCTGAAATGGAAATTAACAACTGGTTTCACAAGTTTCTTCATTACCGAGTAGCGATAAATGTAAGAAATCAATGTATCTTGCGCGTTATTTGTTGAACAATACGGAAAAATTTAATTTGCATCTTAAGAAAAGGTCAACAGAAAGAGATGCAGATTTGCAAGTTCACCGACTATAAAAGTTCTTCTTTACTCGAAGTAAAAGAGGAATCAAGGGAAAGTTTTTGACGAGTTTGCAAATGTACAAGCATTAAAAGTTGGATCTTTGTTACATTGACTTTTTCCCAGTGTATGAATTTGATAATAAAGATTTAATTAAGGCTAATCTTTCGCTTTCATCAGACAGTGAGTGCGAAGTTCCCTTACATCTGACAACGGAATCTCGGTGGGGGAAACAGGCAGTTCATAATCTTCCTGCTTATTCTCCGGCAACGGGATAAATATTGGCCGCTCGTTAGGATTACCCTCGTCGACGCCAGCTTGATGAATCTTGTCGCTCTCCACGCGATGCAGATTATCCTGACCGGTCAGGCTGTACTCCGGCTGATTCTGTGGGACGTTCACCTCGTAAATTTGAGAATAACGTTGCTCGTCCGGCGTGCGTAGCCTTGGATCGACAGTCGTGGCCAATTCAAAGTCACTGTTCTCCGCTTTCCCGTCTAACTGGTAGTTCTTCGGCCTCTGAACGACCTCTTGATCCAGCGGCTCGCCACTCTGAGCTTGATGATAATTAAATCCATTCACTGGATTCTTTTCAAGGTCGGTCCGTTCTAAGGTCGATTCGTCGTAGCCAGGCCGGTAACGCGGACCCTCCTCAACGTTCTGCGGATAGTTCTGACTTCTCGAGTAATCGTCAGAAATCAACGCGGTAGCATGGTTCACAGTGACATCATGAAACGACGGGTAGTTCTCCGTGGCGCTAACAGTGGTGGGTGAATAATTCTCAGAAGCGTGGTCGTTCAAGCTTGACGACGAATCCAACTGACGAAGAACACTTGGTTCTGAGTCGGTGATAGGGGAGTTCGGATCGCTGATACGGGACCCAGTGTCGTACGATTGCTGTGCCTGTTGGCTTTGAGCGTGTCCTACGACCTGTTGGCATTCGAGTGGAATTTTAATTTGTACGCAGATTGTCGAGGATGAAAATGCTTTTCATTTGCAATGAAACATCGTGTGAAATACTATTGTTAACACTAACACTGCGACGATCAGTTGGTGTAATTTTGGAGCACAGTTTATACTTTAATAATTAACATGTTTGTAAGAAAGTTCGACATAACTTTGAAAAGTTGAAAAGCTAAGTGAGTGTATATATAAATACTACATTAATAATCAACATTCAGTATCAGATCATATCGATCGTTAGTGTTAATTTAAAAAAATTCTTTTTCATTAAAATTCATATTCAATTTATAGTCGTGCAGTTCCTTCTTGTACATGTTAATAGCCTCTCGTTTTTAAAAGTCTTTTAACAACGTAAGTTCATACACGATCGCAAAATATTCGCAAAACGCATTACCTCAGGCTGCTGACTGGTTTTATCTCGATTTCTGTACTTGTTCGTCCTGCTGCTCGGCCTCCTGTGCTCCGAGTTATACCTCAACGTAGTTTCCGGAATTTTGGATTTAGTTGGCTCGTAAGCAGACTCGCGATACTCCTCTGTGGTGGTCGTGAACCTGGATCTAGATCTGTTGTACGGTCTTCGATTTTTCTCCACGTTCGATTTGGTCGACGGTGCTTCGGTTGTTGTTGTTCTTGGTCTCGTGGAAACCAATCTGCTTCTAAAATTACCAAATCATTTTGTTCAATTCAAGAATACTCCACAACGTATTGTTCTTCAATTAAATTCCTTCGATTAGATCATTTCTAATCAAGTTATTTCAATTACTCAGGGTAGGACTTTTGACAATTTAAAATCCAAAGATACATATCAAGCCTAAAGGAAAGGAAAGCAAAAGTGAAAAATCGAATAGCACCTCTGTCTACTTCGTGGCCTGTACGTTGTCGTAGGAGAACGCTGTGTCGTGGTAGTGGTTGTAGTGGTAGTTGTGCTTGTAGTTGTCGTCGCACCAGGATGGAGTTTCGCCTCATTCTTATCCAACAGAGAATTCACCAGGCCGGGAAGGTGCGGAGAGATCGCTGGTAGTTCAGCCGGCAAGCTATATTGCGTGGGTCCAACGGGAATTCTAACGTCGTTAACATCGCCAGCAGTGATTTCACCGTCGAAACTACCGACGAGACCGGCGGAAGCCTGGGGATTCTGTTGACTATATTGCCCTCCGTTGTTGTAGCGTTGCGCCTCCCTCTGCTGGGCCAACTGTTGATTAATTAACGCCAGCTGACCCGACTGCTCCTGCTGGCCAATTGTTTCTTCTCTGAAGCTGGGCGTCGTCGAATACGAAATTTCTTCAGCTCGACTCACAGCTGATGTGCCCACTTTTCCACTTTGAACAGGGGCCTCGGTCGTCCGCGAATTTTCATCGTAGTACTTCTGCTTCCTCGTGGTAGATCTCTGATCATCGTAATAGGAAGTAACGACAGAAGCTGGCTTACCGTCGCCGTAGAACTGTCTGAACCTGAACCTGGAGCCAGAGTATCCAGCAGACGACGTTGGTCCATACGTCTGCTCGTACCTGGGCGTGCTTGACGATTCTGGAGAGTAGTTGATAGTTGTTTGAGGCTCGTACGAAGGGGTAGTAGATTCAGATACGCTGTCCAAACCGTCCAGATAAGAGTTAGGTTCTATCAAAGGTGTTGGGCTAGGATTTTGATCGTCGCTTCCTTTCGCATCAGCGTTATCCAGGGTATTCACTACCACTGACCCTATGTGCGGCGCTGGGAATGGTATCTTCGAATATCCTGGAGGTGGATCGAAGCTAAGTGGCGCGACGAAGAAAGGTAACTTGTCAACCTTCCTCTCGACGCGATTGTGATCGATGGATGACAAATACGGCAGATCGAACTTGGCGTAACCTGTCGGTGGATCTAAACTGGTCGGACCCACGAACACTTGCGGAGTGTCCGGGCCGACTGTATCCAGAACAGCTATGGTTTTAGCATCCTTTAATATCCTTAAGACGTCAGCTACTTTCACGTTGGATGTCTTCGAACTGGAACTTCCCATGTACACTGCCAAGGGCGGTTGATTAGGAGATGGGGTCGTCGTTTCCCTGTAATTTTGTTGATCATGATAATGAGGAATCCTCTGCCTCTGTCTTCCCCTGACTTTACTTTTACTTTGTTTCGGCGTATCCGACGGATGCTGGCGATGAAACTGATCCCTGATCAAAGGAAGAGCCTGCGTTTGAACGTCTTGGCCCTCAGTACGTTCCGATTCGGCCAATCTCGCCTCGTTTTCCCGTTGTTTTTCACGCTCATTCAGGATCTCCAGTTCCTTCTGTTTCTCCAGAGCGGCCAGCCTCTCGGCTTCCCTCTGCTCTGCTGCTTCCTCCGCCCGACGCTTCTCCTCTTTCGCTCGGATCTCCTCTAATCTTCGCCTTTCCAGTTCTTCCAGTCGTTGCTTCTCCCTGGCCTCGCGTATCCTCTCAAGTTCCCGTTGCTTCGCCAATTCCTCCAACTTCTCCAATTCTTTTTTCTTCTTCTCGATCTCGCGCTGCCTCTGCAGCTCTTGCTCCCTCTGCAAGGCTTCTTGCTGCAGGCGTGCTTTCCTTTCCGCTGCCTTTTGCTCCTCGTTCAACCGGACGAGTTCCTTCATTCGCTCCTCCTTGAGGAACTGGGCCTTCTCCTCGCGTTCCAGTTGAATTTGCTGCAGTATCTGACGGGCAAGGGCATCCTGGTCGTCGATACCTCGGCTGTCGTGGTGTTGCTGCGGTTGTCGAGGTTGTTGCTGCTGCTGCTGCTGACGGAGGGGATACTGCTTTCTTCCGCGGCCTCTTTTCGGCTGACCTCGTTGCGCCAAGGTCTCCGCCGGCACGTAAACTAATTGCACCTACGAGGAAGAAATATTGGAAAAAAAGAGTTAAGGATATTTTAAGCTTGAAGGAGGAGGGATTTATTGGA